GTGTTGCACTACGTCGCGGTGCGTGCGCTGCGCTCGAGAAAGTGCGCCGCTCGCTTGGGTGCGCCGCTCGCTTGTGAAGCACGTTACTTAGAGCTCCCTAATTAGCCTTAAGATAAAGATAGCTTCCTTTGCTACCTGTAATAGAGCTAGAAGCTCTGCCTTAGTTGTAGAGGTGGTAGCAGTGTCTTGTTTGCTTGCTTTCTATGCAATCAGGCCTCTAAATAGTTAAATAGTGTAGCCTTGTAAGCTCTTGCAGTTAGAGGTGTTGTTAGCAAACGACGCATTGCTTGCAACCTTGAGGTGGAGGCCTCTGCCTTAGCGTAGGGCTAGGTTCTGCGTGCTCATAAGGTAGAGCAGCACTTAATCAGCTGCTGCGTGATGCGCTGGTCCTAGATTCAGCATGTAGCGTGCTAGCCTAGAGGTTGCAAACGCTATATCTAGACGTGTTGTGACTGCTGTAAATAGTAATAAGCCAACCTTACGCTAGTACTTGTTAATTTCTGCTAGTGTATCTAGGCCTGTTTATAGTTCTAGCTTAATAGAGGATATTAGAGTATTATATTAAGTGTCTTTCTTATTAATTAACTAACTAATCTTCTTAATGTAGGTAGCCTGTAAGAGGAGGAGTGTGTAGTTTCTCCTATCCTAAGTAATTTCTACTCCTAGGAACTACTCTAAGTCTTCTCCCCCTATAAGGGTGTATTCTGTCTATAGCTCCTATATAATTAAGTAAGCTAGGTGTTCTTTATTCTTAGGGTATCTAAAAATAATATTAGTAATATAGAAGAAGATAAATACTCTGTCCTTTATTATGCAGCAAGGCTTGTAAGGTACTGCCTGTAGGCCTAGTTAAAGGAGGGTGTTAGTGAATTCCTTCTGCTATAGCAGAGGTAAGATGCGCAGTCTATACAGGGCCTTGTTTAGTTTTAGAGCTGTATTTAGCTTCCTGTGGCTGTACAGCATTCTTATGTAGACCTCTTAATTAATTGTTGTATGCACAAAAGCGTTAGTGACGTCATACTACTTAAGCTTAAGGTCATAATCTGCAGCAATCGCAATCTTTAATCTAAATAACTGGCTAGCAAGCGTTGCAGCGTAGGTGTCCTGTGCTGATACATCGCGCTGCTAGTCTCCTTAGACTACTAGGCGCGCCTTGCATTTCTGCAATCTGTGTTGCTAGTCAAGCTTGTATATGTATACCTACATGCAGTTAAGGATCTAATGCCCTTTTTATCTAATCTACTTAAGTAGTGCTTCTAACTATAAATATATCTTGTAGTAGCTTTAGAGGTGCTTCTACTTAGCTTTCTTCTACTAATTACTTAATAGGTAACTTTCTATCTCCTTATGTAATAAAGGAGGTAGTAGTAGCTAGCTTTTATGTAGAATAGTTCCTTTTGCTATTGCGTGTGCTGATTACCCTAGCTAGTAATAGTATCTAGATGCAAAAGATGTTAGAGGATCTGTATCTTGTAAAGTTATTAGACTTTGTTCTTATAATCTTTCTCTAGCGTATTTCCCTCTTAGGTATAGCGCTATGCTTACCTAAGCATTGCTATTGTAATCTCTAAGAAGAGAGGATTAGAATGGTGTGCTTACTAAGCCTGTATCTCCTCTTGTTCTTAAGATATGCTGTTCTCTATTTTTAGTAACTAGAAATGTTCTAGACCCTCTGCTTACAAATAGAGTAGCCTACTCTGTAAGATGCTGACGTATACGATTACGCATGCACCTACGTAATCTTGCTTGCATATGCAGCAATACTAAGCATAGATGCAGTAGACCCACCTAGAGGAGTCTAGAACGTTCTGCTTAGAAATACAGACAGAGGAGAGGAAGCATAAATACCTCT